GGGCGAGGCAGTAGGCAGTGCCCACCAGACACGGGGCAGACGCCAGCGCCACGCTCTCAGACTTCCTAGTCCCAGAACGGTGAGCTGTACATCCCGGTGTTTTACCAACACCCAGTGTCGGCTGTGCTGTTAGAACGGCACAAAGGGAGCTAAGACCGATGGCTAATGAACTTGGATTACTACCGGCTCATGCACCAAAACCTAGTCTCAGGGATGCACAAAAACAGGAAATTATTGGACCATCAGAAAAAAAGGTCTTGAAACCCTCTGGTATTTGGGCTCCTGGGACGGGGGGGTATAGGGAAAAGTCACTCCTAGACTGGAGCAGGACGGACCTCAGAGGCAGCGCATGGGGTGTCCAGGTGTGCTCTCCCCAGGCCCTGCGGGCAGCTGGCTGCCCCTAACCACTGCAAGGGGCGTCAGCAACAGAGGCTCACGGTGGGCGCAAGCTGGCCACTGCTCTCGACACAGCGGTGGGAAGGTCACACGCACACACGCGCACACATGCACACACACACACACACACACACTCCTCTATGCACATGTAACCACTGTCTGTATCGCTGTAAAGATGTCAATCAGCTGCAGATGCAGAAGGGCCAGACAGTGAAAACAGGAGCAGGAAGAGCCCTCCTGGGGGCTGTGGTCACTAACCGTCTTCCTTACCGCAGGGCATTTCCGTCCTGGCAAAGGCTGAGGTTCAGCCATTTCCTAGGCAAAGGGACCCTCCCGGGAAAGTTAGTGTGCAGCTGTTCCCCGCTGCAGGGCTCCTGCTGAGTGCTGGGGTGCTGAGGGAGAGGCTGGGCGGAGGGCACCAGGTCTTCCACTGCCCTGCTTCCTTCAGACCTGGAAGAGGGCAGCTGACGTTGCTGCTACGACCAGGATTTGAATCTTGGGCAGAGGTGAATTCGAATCTAGTTGGGCTGAGGTAATTAACCCTAATCCCTATCTTTAAAAAAGAAGGAGTGGCTAGGCCCAGCAGGTGGTGTGGTAGTTTAGGCACTGGGCTCCCATACGGCCAACCATGGTTCGAGTCCCAGACCTGGTGGCTTGAAAATCACACCAGGTGCATGTACGTGTGTGCCCAAAGTCCCAGGAGGAGAATGAAGGGGAAGGGATTGTGGCATGGCCATCCCTCCAAGAGGTGATTTCTCACTTTCTCTCTGTTTTTCTCTGTCTCTCTCCAGCGAGCACAAGTGCCCTATGGCAGAAAAAAAAAGTAAAAGAAAAAAAAAAGAGAGGACAGGGATCTTCAGAGGGAGAGTAGCAACACGTTTTCATTGTCTGTACGCACAACAACAATCCTATAACCAAAGCATACGTGGACAGGAAGTAGGAGCTGTGCCGGGGGTGGAGCACAGTGGCTAGCGGCATGCGCGTAGGCGCCCTGGTGCCAGAGTTAGCGCACAAGGTGGCAAGTGTAAACAGCAGAGGACAGCTGCGCAAGTAAGGGTGGGTCATCTCGGGACCAGCAGTTAGCGTAGTGGCTGTGTCGCTGGACTCCCACGTAGTCGACCGCAGTTCGATTCCCGGACCCGGTGGCTTAAACTCATGCCAGG